CAGGAAGGATGAACACAACAACACATTGTCCACATGCGGAACCGGGGAAATTCAATGTTGTCTAAATCTGCCCATGATATTTGAGAAAATTAAGCAGGACTCTCTGAATAGCCCTGGGGTCAGACAGTCCATGTATATTGGCAATCTTGACAAGTGAAGGGTAAACAATGTTGGCTGTTCACTCTACAGGTATGCTGGAGAAAGCACTGCATAAGCCAGTGACGGTGATGGGAATATGGACAGCAGGATATGGGGGTTGGGGACAGGATGTCTAAGATTTATTCTTTTATTTGTGCTCTTAGGTCTCAACAATTCTGCAGCCTTTTCTGTTTAGCTTTTTGAACTGGGAGGATTGGTGTATTGCAAGGATTCGTGGAAGATATTAGGAGTCCTTTGTCTAAAGAGTCCTGAAAGAGTGGTGTAATTCCTAGTTAGGCTCCAGTTCTAAGGGGATATTGCTTAATGTTTGGCAGAGGTTTAAAGTTATCCATATGTAGAAGGAAGTGCTGACTTAATTCTTCCAATATCTGAGCAAGAGCTTACCCATAATAAATCTGGTATTTTGAGGCCAGCTGAGGTGGCTCACACCTGTAATTCCAGGACTTTGGAAGTCCAAGGCAGGAGGATCACTTGAGCCCAGGAGTTCGAGACCAGCCTGAGCAACATAGTGAGACCCTGTCTCTACAGCAAATTACAACAATAATTAGCTGGACATGGCAGCACAAGCCTGTAGTCCCAGATTCTTGGGAGGCTGAGGCAGGAGGGTCACTTGAACCCAGGAATTTGAGGCTACAGTGAGCTATGATTGCAGCACTGCACTCTAGACTAACAGAGAGACTCTATCTCTTTTTTAAAAAACCTGGTATTTAAATAAGAAAGGCCCTAATTTTCCCTGTTTGAATTCTTTTTTTTTTTTCCATTTCTTTTTTTCAGGTTTAGGGTGAACATGTTCAGGTTTGTTATATGCGTAAATTGCATGCCACAATTACAAATGATTTCATCACTGAGGTAATAAGCATAGTACCCAATAGCTTATTTCTCAATCTCCACCTTCCTCCTACTGTTCAGCTTCTAGTAGGCCCTGATGTCTGCTGTTCCCTGCATTGTGTCCATAGGCACTCAATATTGAGCTCCAACTTACAAGTGAGAACATGTGGCATTTCATTTTCTGTTCCTGCATTAATTCACTTAGGATAATGGCCTCCAGCTGTATCCATGTTGCTATGAAGGACATGGTTTCATTCTTTTTCATGGCTGTGCAGTGTTCCATAGTGTATATGTACCAGGTTTTCTTTATCCACTCCTCTGCAGGTGGGCATCTAGGTTGATTCCATGTCTTTGCTATTGTGGGTAGTGCTGTAGTGAACGTATGAGTGCATGTGCCTTTCAGTAGAACAATTTATATTTCTTTGGGTAGATATCTAGTACTGGGATTGCTCTGGCAACTGGTGGTTCAATTTTAAGATCTTTGAGAAATCTCCAAATTGCTTTCCTTAGTGACTGAACTACGTTACATTTCTACTGTGAGCCCCAAATACCTAAGACAGGTCTCATCAACTTGGGAAGTTAGAAGATGCACCTGCGACACAGCCCAGGAAGTACTGATGACACGTGTCCAAGGTGCTCAGGGGTACAGTATACATTTTAGGGAGACAAGAGACATCAATCAATATGTGTAAGATGTACATTGTTTCATTCTGATAAGGCAGAAGAACTCAAAGTGGGAGCTTCCACTAGGTTAGAAGTAGGTAAGTGACAAAATTTTGCATTCTTTTGAGTCCTTGATCAGCCTTCCACTGAATATACAATTTAGTCTATGTCAGTGAATCTTCAGTTTTACATAAACAATAGAAAAGAGGAAGCAATTAGATAAGGATTTGTCTCATGTGAGCCTAAGAGAGATGCCTTTGAATAGAATGGGAGGCAGGTTTGCCCTACGCAGTTCCCAGCCTGAGTTTTCGCTCTAGCTTCATGATTTTGGGGTTCCAAGATTCATTTTCCTTTCACATTACCAACAGTATGTAAGTGTTCTGTTTTCTCCACAGCCTCACCAACATCTGTTGTTTCTTTGACTTTTTAAGGATAGCTGTTCTGACTGGTGTGAGATGGTATCTCCCTGTGGTTTTGATTTGCATTTCTCTAATGATTTGTGATGTAGAACATTTCTTCTTATGCTTGTTGGCCACATGTATGCCTTCTCTTGGGGAGTGTCTTCATGTCCTTGGCCCATTTTTAATAAGGTTGTTTGGCTTTTGCTTGCTGGTTTGTTTAAGTTTCTTATAGATTCCTGATATTAAATCTTTGTCACGTGCTGTTATGGTTTGGCTCTGTGTCATCAACCAAATCTCATCTCACACAGTAATCCCCAAATGTCAAGAGATTGGATCACGGGGGTAGTTTCCCCCATGCTGTTCTCATGACAGTGAGTGACTGCTCATGGGGTCTGATGGTTTCATAAATGCGTGGTAGTTTCTCCTTCATTTTGTCTCTCTCTCTCTCTCTCTCTGTCACCTGCTGTCATGTATCACGTGCCTGCTTCCATTTCCACCGTGATTGCAAGTTTCCTGAGCCCTGACCCTAACCACATGAAACTGTGAGTCAATTAAACCTCTTCTTTACAAATTACCCACTCTTGGGCAGTTCTTTATAGCACTGTGAGAACAGACTAATATAGTAAATTGGTACCAGGAATGGGGAACTGCTAGAAAGATACCTCAAAATCGAGAAGCAACTTTGGAACTGGGTAGTGGGCAGACGTTGTAACAGTTTGGAGGATTTGGAAGAAGATAGGAAGATGTGGGAAAGTTTGGAACTTCCTGGAGACTTTCGAGTGGTTTTGACCAAAATGCTGATAGTGACATGAACAGTGAAGTCCTTTATTAAGCCGGCGACCGAGAGTGGCCAACACCCAAAATTCTCTCGGCCCCGAAGAAAAGTTAGGTGGTCTTTTATACACTAGTTTTAACAGGAAGCGGGGACCTAGTTAAAAACAAACTTTTCACACAGGCAGAGTAAGGAAAAAATCAAAAGGAAAACTGATACATAAGAAATAAAACAGTGCCATGTGTGAGGAGTGCAGCTGTCATGGGACACATCCAACTACAGATAAGGGGGCTCTGGGCGCTCACTGCAGCTGCGTTTCCAGGCTCTGCTGACACCACTTTACTCGGCCACTTATCAACAAAGGCATTTCTGGGTGCTCAGAGTCAGCCTGACCTTGCTTTACACTATAGTTGCACACTTGATGGGGAGAAGGTTACTAAATGTAGAAGCCAAGATGGCGTCTGTCCGGCTCAAAAAGGCTGACATAAAGCTTGAACAGCCCTTAGTCAGGAAAAGGAGAGTTAGTTTTAGCTGGCAAAAAGCAGGTATCACATATGCTCTGTGATTAAGGTCAGTGGTCAGGTCAAGACCACAGGTGCTGAGACATGTAGATCTGGAGGATGTAAATGCTCATGCTCACGGGAGACCATTTCCACGGCGTTAAAGGCAGTTTCTCTTGGTTAGCTGTTGGCTTGTTGCTCTAAACGGTGTTTACCTGACTTCAATATGAACTCAATTGGTCACGTTCTTTCTTAAAATGTGTATCATTCCAAAAGTTCACACGGCATCAGATTTTTGCTCAGACCATCTGTAATGTTTCTCCAGCAGAATACACATTTGCCTTCCCTTCCTGCCTACCTCCCCAACTGCCCTGAGCAGTGTTCCTGTGGGTCCATCTGTGTAGCGGATGGGGCAGGTGACACAGGCCTCGACATGTGGTGGAGCTGTGCCAAATGCAGGGTGGTCTCGTGTGTGCACTGGGGTGGGTGGGCCCTGGAAAGAGGAGGTCATTCCCCCTGGGGAACACCCATGCCCCAGGGGAGAAGTCGGGGGAGCAACAAGGGGAAGATGCACAAAGCGTGGGACAGGCCTGCTGCTGCATCAGCGAAACCCGTCACTCCTGAAAGGCACGCAAGGGGAAGGCGTGGCATTCACTGACCTCACACTTACCCGTCCAGTAGCATTCACCCACAAAAGACAGAATCTACTGAGACAGGCACAGCAATGGACTGCTCACATCTTTTTGTTGGCTGAATGGAGGAAATTTCTCAGCAGGTTCACAGAAAGGATACCAGGCTGTGTTTGGAGAAAAGGGCGGGACGCCTAAACACTGCGTGTGGAAGCAGGGCAGCTAGAACACAGAGGTGTTGAGAAAAACGACACATCGTAGTACTGCTCCAGAATATCAGCGCGTTTCTGTGGATGGTATGGGAAGCGTGATTTCCTCTGTTTGTGGGCTTTGTCTTTGAAATTTTCTGTGACATATCTGCATTGCATTTTAAAAGTCAATATTATTCTGAATTTTAATTTAAAATAAAATTTTATCTCATTCAGTTATTTATACATTGAACTTTCATTTTCCTTGACAATAACTTAGTGACACACCTAGCCCTGTTTTCCACCCTGACCAGCCTGTGCTGCTACAGCCTGCTTTCTCCTCCTCATCATGACCTACTCAGCTTCCCTTCCTGCTTCCATTCACGGAAATGTGGGACAGGAAGGAAGGGGGCCTCTGCCATTCACAGAGATCCCACTGAATGCCAGAGTTTGCCCCACACATCTCCCTATTTTTCGAGTTGAATTTCATTGCATGCAGCAATCAACCTCAGGGACTCAGTTTCCCACATACGGGAAGCTCGACCCCAGGTAGGGAGATTTGCTTGGTGGGGGATTTGAACCCAAGTTCCTCTCACTGCAAAGCCCACAGGCATTCCCATGAGGAACAGACGGAACAGGGAGTAGCCCTGGATGACCGTAAACTCACTTTGGGTTTAGAGAAGGACAGATGACCTGGGGAATGAGGAAGCCCACTGCTCAGGAGCTCACTTCAGGAGAAATGTCATGAATGTGCCCTTTAAGGAGCTGATGGCAACTTCTGTTAATCCTGGGACCAGCGACCTCAGGTCAAGATCCGGCTGCTCACTCAGGTCAAGACCCGGCTGCTCACTCAGGTCAAGACCCGGCTGCTCACTCAGGTCACCTCTTTAGGCCAGAGGCTCCTGCCAAGTCTGGGCTCCCAGCAGAGTCTAAGAAAATGTGGAAGGCACCAATGTGATTTTGAAGATTTATTTCAGAGGGAGCATCAGTGACCTACAAGAACCTGGGATAGATGCCAACGCCTCCTGTTTCCCCAAGATGTGAGAGACGACACAGCGCCTCCCACGGACTTCAAAAAATTTGGACTTGAGCTTTGCCATCCCTCCTCCTGCTCCTGTTTCATAAATTTTGCTTTTATATTCTCTCTGTCTTTACAAGGTCGGGAGGCTGAAGTTTTCTTATTTGGGGCCAGGAACTGTCACTTCCTTAACGGTGGTGGTTCTGATAGTTCGCACATTTGTGGCGACCCCAAACAGCAGTGCAATTATGAAGGCGTAAATGCGACCAAAGACCACCCTCAGGTATGTCGCTGGTTGTTCACTTTGTGTGATGGAGCGCATTCTTTTCGGAGGGGGCCCGCTGTCGACACTCCCCCCAGCTCCACTTCTCAGGCACCGCGGAGGATCCCAGCCCACATGGCAATGGCAGTTCCTTCTGTTGTTGCAGACCCCTCTGTGACTGCACTTCCCAGGGTGACAGTCGTAGTGCAGGGAAGTGATAGTGGCGTTGCACCGGCTGTTATTACAGAAGTTTCCATGAACACAGGGAGTGCCGTCGATCACACGTCCAACATCGGTTGTGCCCATTCCACGGTGTTCATCCAGCCCAAAACACTGAGCCCTGCCTATCACGGAGTGATGGAATGAAGCGTGTTCCTGCAGCCGGGGCAGATGGGTGACGTTGGTGCACTGCAGTCTTCCACAAAACTTATCTATTCCTACACAAGCCTGGTAAGCGTAAGAATCATATAGTCGAGTACAATGTCCAAATCGGTATGATTCGAGGTTTATATTATAGCAGTCGTCAGGAGCATTCTCAGCACTGGCACCAAAGATCGCCTTGCAGAGCAAATTGCGGTCAGTGCAATTCCCATGATAGCAGTAGCCTTCTTCAGTGCACGGGGTTCCGTCCTGCATATAAACGTCCGCGGGGCATATCACGGTGGTCCCACGACAGTACTCTGGAAGGTCACATATGTTTTGGATAGGTCTGCAGAGAGTGCCTGACGGGGAGAAGCTGCAGTTCGTACAGCAGTCTCCTACATGACAGATGCTCCCGGGTGTGAAACGACAGTCACTCCCACAACACGGACTGGCGTAACACTGCTTGAAGGAGCCACAGTCACATTGCTCAGTCTCTTCCACCATCAGGTTTCCACAGTGAACTGTTGTCATGGTTTTGTTATACACAGGGGACGGTGTAATGAAAATACACTGGGATACAGTTGAAAAACAGTTTTGCGCGTGTCCATAGGTACAGTTACTGAACGCATCTGTCATCCCTGGAAATCGTTGCATGATGCAGAAGGTCCTCCTCTGACATGTACAGTACTCAGTGTCATAGACCACACCAATACTTCTCATCAGCGACTGCATTATTATGACAGCTATCAATAAATAATGTCGGCCTAGAATACCAATGTGTATCAGGCCGTCAGCTTTACACATTTTATACTGTGGAGTTTCATAGCTAGATTCATGTGGTCCGTCTTGAATAAGTAGTATGGATGAATGAGGGCGAAAAGGATTAAAAAAGCTGTTTCTATAATAAGTAAAAATTGCACTATTTGTTCGATACTCATTCACAGGGGCTGGGTCCCGATCATTATATATGGTCAAAAGATAAATATAGTACCGCAGATCAATATTTTGAGCAATGCTGTCAACGAGACTGAACATCCGGACCGCCTCTTTGGAACAAGCTGTGATATTGGTATATACTCTATAATATGAATTGGAACATTGAATATGACCTTTTATATTGCCTGTATGAGAACTATACTGGAAATTAGACAACCTGGGATTCATGCTGTCATTTGCTTCAGAGAGCAGGGGGTCTGTCTGCTCATTTTCACCATCTCTAAATGTGGGCCCTGTTGCGTTGGGCTCAGCCACTATCTGAGAAACAACATGTTCAAACCTGCGGGAATCCTGCAGGGGTTTGATTTCGTAGGCAAGGTCGTCCAGCTTCATGATGCCGCTGAGGCCGCCATAGCACGTGTCGACGGTGACCATGGACAGAGGCACCTCCTCCAGGTAGCCGAGGTAGTAGCAGTCTGCAGGGATGTAGGGGTAATCCATCTGCAAGGCACCTTGGTCGTCCTGCGTGGTCACCAGCAGATGTCTGGGCCAGAGAAGGCGTTTTCTGCGCATGTGAAGGACGTGTTTTTGACCCCCAAAACTCAGGCTGTAGGACAGCCAGCCGGGAAACTGAAGGCCTTTGCCGCGGTGGGTCTCCCTCCTGGGGATCACCACCTCGGAGGACGCGTAGTGCCACGAGGGACGGCCTTGAGAGCAGCAGACCGGAGCCAGGGGTGCCCAGAGCCCCAGCAGCAAGAGGGTGGCCCTAAGGGCGACACGCACCTCTGCCGGCCTCATGTCCCAGCCCGGGGATGTTCATCCAGAGAATGGGAAAGGACTGTCCTCAGGGAAGCCAGGCCCCAATCATCTGCGGTGGCCACGTCCCTCCCAGGGAGACCCTGACAGAGAACAAAGGCCCTGCCTGGGCTCCCACATCACACTCCTGGGGCCCCTGGACTCCCTGAGGGGATGAGGTAACAGTCCCAGGGTGGGGCAGCGGGTGGGTCTGGACAGGATGGCTGTGGGATGAGGTCATGGCTGTGAGGGCTCACCTGGAAGGGAAGGGGCGAGGGCAGCAGGGCTGAGTCTCTCTCACCATGCCAATCTGTTCTGTTGCCTTCTCAATCTACAAAACACAGTGAGGAGTGTTCAGTGACCTCGCCTGTGGCTCCCATCACCTGTGTTATTCTCGGTCTCTCTGTGGGTGAATATTCCTCCTTCCTGTGACTCACAGCGCTTAGTTCTTTGTCAGGCGGAGGTAGACACCGCCCATGTTTCCCGGGAGGGCTGAATATTGTTCTAGTCTTAATAGGTGTCCATCTCTTGTTCTTTTGCCTGTTTTGTTTTGTTTAGGCTTTGAAGTTCTGTTTGGGGTCACCAACTTGTGAGAGGAAAATACCTTGGGCACCTTCAAGCTGGAAACACTCAGGGAAAATCTGCCTCCCACTCTATTCAATGGAGCCCCTCTGCTGCAGAGACAGATGCATATTCGGATTGCCTCCTTTGGAAACACTTATCAGAAACTCAAAAGAACACAACCCTCTGTCTGTCACCTACCTGTGACCTGGAAACCCCCAGGTGGGGAGGCCTTGCTTCGAGTTGTCTCAGCCTTTCTGGATGGAGCTAATGTACTTCTTCCGCATATTCACTGATGTCCCATGTTTCCCTGAAATGCATAAAACCAGGCTGTGCCTGACCTCCTTGGGCACACGTCACCAGGACTTCCTCAGGCACGTCCTCGGCCATGGCAAAATAAACTTCTAAACTAACTCAGATCTGGCTCAGATTTCCTGGGTTCACGAGATGAACACTTGATATAGGGTCACTTTTTCTTCTGCGCCATGAAAACTCTTTGTGAATTACGATACTTTTTGCCTCATCCATCTGTTGGGAACAGACGGTATTCCTGACCCCATGGGAGCTCAGTTGCGGTCCCCGGGATGCTTCTGTGTGGTTCTCTCCTGGGCTTTGGTCATTTCTTCAGATGGACGAGCTGATCAGTTCCCAGGGAAGGACCCAGGGGGACGTCTCTGGGTGTCTCATGTCTGAGAACAAATATTTCACATATTTCTGTCAATTCTGTCATTGCTTCTGAGGGGAGTGAAAAATCCAAGGCCAAATCATATTCAGAAACACAAATCACTTTTTCCTCAAAACCATAAATATTTTCCTTTCCTGGCAAGTGTTGTCTCTGTGTTTAAACTTAATGTGATTGTGGTGTATTTCAAGACTGTGTTGTGTCACACTTGGTCTTCCGATGCCCCGGGATCCGCACTGCGTCCCTTTGAATCCCACCTTTTTATGACAGATGAACAATTATGAAGGAAGCTGGTCTCCCCTGTAGGAGTGTGCAAGTTGGACACCCTGTCCCTGGGCCCTTAGGGTTTTCCCAGGAAGGAGAAGGAGAATATTTGACCTCCCTGAAGAAGGCTGTTATGAGTGACTGTGTTCTTCCTAAATTCGTGTGCTGAAATCCAACCCCTGCTCCTTCAGAATGAAATCACAGTTGGATTAGTGTCTTTAAGGAGGGAATGGGTTAAAGTGAGGTTCCTGGAGTGCGGCCCTCGTGCAATCTGACTGTTGTGAGAAGGGAAGCAGCAGGGAGGGTGAGCAGCCCTGAGGGCCGGCCCTGTGAGGACGGGCAGGGAAGAGACGCCGTCTGCAGGCCAGGAGCCAGGCCTCAGAGGAAACCCACCCAGCTGGCCCCGACCGTAGACTTCCACCGTCCAGAACTGTGAGGAAATCGGCTTTGTGTTGTAAGCCATCTGACCTGCGATATTTTGTTTTAAAAGCCCCATACACTGAACTCTGTAGGTAATAGGAGGTCTTCTACATATTGGAAGAGTCAGATGGCCACACAAACCTGGATGCTCCTGTTCAGACCTGAGCAGGATGGCGGACCTGCTTTGGGACAGGAGAGGGGAAGAGATGAGCCCAGCATCCAGAACCAGGTGAGCCCATTCCTCAGCAGACCGCCCCTGGGCCGGAGTTTGCACAGGTGTGAAAGAGTTTGTCTTGGTCTTCAGGGGCTCCTGGAGTTGGAGGGAGGCTGGTGTCAACTCTTGCTCACACAGAAGAACACGTCAACGGTGTGCCTGTGTTTATGTGAATGGGGCGTGTTTCTAGGATGTGCTCATCCCCAAAGAAGAGTTAATCGGGTTTCTAGGGCTAGACAGAGGTTATGGTATTTGTGAGTATTGACAACTTGGCTGGACCGTACATTAGGTTAAAATGCTCACGGGAAGACACAGTGGGAAGAAACTCTGGTTACTGAAGGAAAAAACAATGGTAATTACTTACATAAGATGCCTTTGAAGGTCACCAGAAGCCCTGAGGTGTGGGCGTCCACGTGTGCTCTCCATGGGGGACACGGTCTCATTTCAGGGCCATGGCTCTCAGTCAAGGCTGTGAGGCTCCTGTCCCTACAGACAGGATCCTCTCTAAGGCTTGCCAGGGCCATGCAACCCTGTGGTTTAGTCCTAGAGAATGAGTGCAGAAACTAATGGATGATGTTCCTTCTTCAGGAGAAATGAGGGTGGGAATCTGAGAGAGCAGCAGGCTTCTCACAAGCATTGTGATGAAAATCCTCTTTGATTAGGGAAAAAAGTGATGAATGTTTTTAAATGATAGAGGTTAAATCAACAAAACATTAAAAAATGTATTAGGTAAAGAAGCGTGTGCTTATTAGCGTGTCTGCACACGGGTGCCTTCCTATAGAAATGCTCCGTGGATAATCAATTTTCCTTTGTGCCCTGTCAGCTCTTTAGGAAGAGCAGACTGTATCACTGACTTCCCTATTCTCAGCGCATGAGTGAGCAGCGGCTTTGAACAGGGTGTTGGAGGGATCCCAGGGGAGCAGCTGGCTGACTGTTGCAGGCTTGCTTTGCACCTGCACTGGAGGTTTTTTTCCGTGCTCATAAAGCCATGGAGACTTCTGTCAGTTCAGATCGACCTCATTACTACCTACAATAATGTACAGTAACTGGAAATGTCTACGACTGCACGTATACATACACACCTCCATGCCAGCCACTCTGAGCTCCGCGATTTAGTGGAAGTTAAGCATTTGCACTGCTGCCATAAAGTAGGATCATGATGTCATTCGCAGCGTTGTTTTAAAACCACAGTTCTGCAATGATTAAAGGCTGGTGATTTACACTGGGCTGTATTGCTGAGGGTTATGTTTCTCAGCTGCCGAAAACAAGACTAAGAGGCAGTGAGATTATGAAATTATTAAAGATGCACAGAACTCTCAGATTTAGAGAATGGCCTGGATGTGGATCATGGAAGGAAAGACAGTAACATTCAAGGGTATAGCCAATAAGCCCTGGGTTTTTACCTCACTGACCTCAGAGAATCTCAGCTAGAGCTGACTTTCCCCCTCAATGTCTTCAGTAATGTTTCGAAGTCTGGGAAAGATTAAGATTGGGATAAATTTGGCTAATGTTTACTTTCGATTCATAATAAGAAAGGATGTTTTGAGTTAATTATTAAGAGTAAAATAACCACAAGTTAGCTAAAATGTGTACCAATACCTGTGAGCAAATATAATATGGAAATAGACATGTTCTAATACAAAAAATATTAGAAGTTGGGATGATATTAAGTGAAATTCAGTTGAGTTGTGTTGACCTCCTTATTGCTGTGTTATTGTCAATAGATTTTAGAAAATCATAATATAATTTAACATTCATTCCTGATAGAGATTCTCAAAAACTGGTTATACAAGAAAGATATCTCAAAAAATAAAGTTCATATATGAGAAACACACAGCTTTCATTACACAAAGGCTGGAAAAAGTGGAAATCTTTCCTCTAAGAAATGGAAAAAGCAAAGATGCTCATTTTTATCACTTTTTTTTCAGGATAGTACTGAAATGCTAGCCACAGTCATTGGATAAGAGAAAAAAAATGACCTCATATTTGGAATGGTGGAAGGCAATTTGGAATGGAAGAAGTCAGATTGCCTGTTTGCAGACAATAAGATCTTACATTAAAAAAGAATACTAAAGACTTCCCAAAAATATTAGAATTGATAAGCAAATTAAGTAAAGTATGATTCACCATCTACATAAAAGAATGGGTGGAATTTCTATATGCTGACAGCAAAACATCTAAGAATGAAATCAATGAAGCATTTCCTTTTACAACAGCTGCAAAGTGTACCCAGGAAGAAATGTTGCCAAGTAAGAGAAAGATTTCTAGAGCAAACTGATAAATATTGACAGAAAAAATGAAGTGGACACACATCAATAGAAGATATAACCCAGATATTCCACATTTATGAACTGGAAGAATTAATAGCACTAAAATTTTCATACTACCCAAAGTTATTTACAGAATAGATAAATTCTCTATCAAAATACTAATGATGCTCTTCACAAAAATAGGAAAAGCAATCTTACAATTCACACATAGGCAAAAAAAAAAAACCCAGAATGGTCAAGGCCACCCCCCAAATGCGTGTCATTTACACATCCATAGTTCATTCATTTGATCATAACAGTCCCCAAACTCTTAACTCATTTCATCATCAACTCTAAATTCTAAAGGGTAAAACATAATTTAAATATCAACTAAAGCATATATGGGTAAGATTGGAGGTACAATTATTTCTGAAACAAGTTTCTCTCCAGCTCTGAGCCTGTAAAACCAGATATCTAATTTTACTGGGGCTATCTTTTTTTTTTTTTGAGACAGTCTTGCTCAGTCGTCAGGCGCCAGGCTGGAGTGCAGTGGCGCGATCTCAGCTCACTGCAACATTCGCCTCCCGGGTTCAAGCAATTCTCCTGCCTCAGCCTCCCAAGTAGCTGGGACTACAGGCGCCTGCCACCTCGCCTAGCTAATTTTTGTATTTTTAGTAGAGACTGGGTTTCACCATGTTGGCCAGGATGGTCTGGATGTCTTGGCCTCGTGATCCGCCCGCCTTGGCCTCCCAAAGTGCTGGGATTACAGGCGTGAGCCACCGTGCCCTGCTTTGGGGCTGTCTTAACAAAGTGTCATAAAATGCATGACTTTAACAAGGCGTATTATTACTTGCAGTGCTGAAGGCCAGGAAGCCCAAGACAGCGATCAGGTGTCTGTAAGGGCTTCGTTCCTGGTTTGCAGATGGCCTAATTTTATTGTATCATCTCATGACAGAGATGCAAGAGAGAAAAGCTCTCTCATGTATTTTTATTAGAGCACTAATTTCATTTATGATGGCTTCAGCCTTTTCACCTAATCACCCCTCAAGTGGCCCACACCCCAATTATATCACATTGGTGATTAGGATTCCATGATATTAATTTTGAGTTATTTTATTTCAAATACAGTGGTGAGTTAGGCATATAATATGTTTTTTGTCCGCCACAGAGAAAAATAGGAAAGGAAAGAGGGGTGATGTGTCCCCAACAAGTACGACGCATCATAAAACGAATTGCCATAGGCCTTATGGCTCAAGTGGAATCTTCTCTGGGACAAGCTTCTTCCTTCCTAGCTCATTGCAGCAGCAGAATTAACTCCAGTGTTTTAGGCAGAGGCACAAACCCTGGGTAACTGCTGGGTTAAGGTCCCGTCCCAAAGACCCCATGCAGCCCTACACATGAGGCTCGCTGGGAGTTCCTAAGTTCCAGGCTCTGGTAGGATGTCTTTTCCTCAAGGTTTTTTAGCACAGGCTGTCTGGCCTGTTCAAATCAAGGTAGTGCTCATGATTTCTTCTAAATAAGTTCAAAGTTTTTTTTTTCTTCTGGAGGAATGGTGCACATTTGCAACCATGTGGCTCCATCCTCTTAAATCGGAAGAATCTGACAGCATTAATCCATTTTGTCTCAT